GGTACGCGGGCCTCTCACTGTTGTGGCCTCTCGCGTTGCGGAGCACAGGCTCCGGACGCGCAGGCTCAGCGGCCATGGCTCACGGGCCCAGCCGCTCCGAGGCATGTGGGATCCTCCCGGACCGTGGCACGAACCCGTGTGCCCTGCATCGTCAGGCGGACGCTCAATCGCCGCGCCACCAGGGAAGCCCTGTAAGTTCTAATTCAAGACAGTAACTAATAATTTTAATTTTTCACTCATAATGAAAGAGCTTTATTTTCAGTCCTTAAATTTCATATGCCTTGAAACTATTATATTGATTATGTTTCTAAGAAAATAAATTATTTGAAAACTCACACATCTGTGGAAGATGATTATATAAACAGAAGAAGTAAATCATAATTTTAAATGGGGTTCTTAGCTTTAATTCATGATAAAATAATGCTTTCCTTTAAGTGATACTCACTTCATTAAATGGAGAAAATTCAAAAGCAGGAGCTTTGAACCAAGGGGAGGGACTAGCTGTGGGAACTTGGCAGTTTTCTTAGTATATTTTTGAAAAACCTCAACTCTTAATTCATTTACTATCTTTTTCAGAGTCTTATCAAGCTATTATTAACACTTTCACTGTGACTGTCATATGTTTGTAAATGTTAACTTTGTTTGCACTTTTCATTTTAGCAGAGTTAATTTTCTGGTTATCAAACCAGATTATTAATAGATTGGTAGTTGAATTTGTAATTATCAGTAAATATTTTAATAGACATGCATCAGATCTCAAGCCTCTAAGAATTAGTATGACTTTCGATTTTTATTTTAAAACACCAGGGCTTAGTATAATATTCAGTTTATGTTTTTATATTTTCTAGAGCTCTGAAATAAATAGAAGTTATACTTTATAGCTTACAGAAAATAACAGTGAATTATGCTGGTCTTCTTGAGAGAGGTTTAACCATAGATTATAATACATATTTGGCTGAAAAGTAATTAATAAAATTATAGCAGTTAAGAATTTATATCAGATCATTAATAGCATTTTAATGTTTTAATAAAGAAAAAATCTAGGAGTTCCCTGGTGGTTAGGATTCCAGGCTTTCACTGTCGTGGCCTAGGTTCAATCCCTGGTTGAGGAACTGAGATCCTGCAAACCATAAAAAAAAAAAAGAAAAAAAGAAAAGAAAAGATCCCAGAATTTGAATTGGAAAGAGTATTTGAAATGATTCAGCCCAACATCCTTTTTACATATGAGGGAAAAGCAAAGAGAGGACATGTGAGTTGCCCAAGACACAACTAATTTATGGTATATGATAATTCTGCAGTTAATTCAGTTTAAAAACTGAATCAGGGGCTTCCCTGGTGGCGCAGTGGTTGAGAATCTGCCTGCCAATGCAGGGGACACGGGTTTGAGAACTGGTCCGGGAGGATCCCACATGCTGCGGAGCAAGTAAGCCCGTGAGCCACAACAGCTGAGCCTGCGCTCTAGAGCCCACGAGCCACAACTACTGAGCCCGTGTGCCACAATGCCTGATGCCCACACACCTAGAACCCGTGCTCCGCAACAAAAGGAGCCACCACAATGAGAAGCCCCTGCTCATCGCAACCAGAGAAAAGCCCACATACAGCAGCGAAGACCCAATGCAGCCAAAAATAAAATAAAAATAAATAAATAAAACTGAATCACTTACTAGATTAGAAATATTAGATATACATTTAATTAACTTCAGAATTGGTAGCAACTTCTCTAGTTTATGGTCTTCTCACAAACATCTTTAAGGAAAAGTTGCGCCATATTTTACTTTTCTAAATACAGGAGAAGTTCTAACTAATAAATGTCAAATTCTTGTCAGATATCGTCTTCAGAAATTGTTGTTCTAGGAAGGATTCTCACCTAACTTTGCCTTTAGCAGACTTTGAAATGATGTCATTGTTCCTAAAAGATAATTATCTTTTGAAATAATCTAGATGTGTTTACTTTCATAGACCATTAATGCTTAATTTTAAAGGATTGAGTAGGTAGCTTAGTATTTTCTATGAGAAATTTTCAGCTCTGTAATCAAGTGTCTTTGGTTATTGCTTAGATAGCCAGAATTGAAGTGATTAATTTTGGCCTATATGTAGTAAGGCAGGAAGGTGCAATTTTTATAAATGAAATTTCATAGGATGAATACAAAATTCAGTTAAGAGCTAATAATGGAGTAAATGTAGAAACAAAAATGAAATGAGATTTTAGCTCCGAGTAAACAGATAAGAAGGTATTTAGTTTTGTAGAAACACAGAAGAATTAGTATTCATATATTTTATTTTTCAAAGTTTTATAAATCCAAAAAGGAAAATTAGTGAGCTTTTGCTACACGTTTTTCTCTTAACTTTTGATATTTCCATTTCAGGCCATTTATTTCTCAGAAAATTCATTTTCCTGACTTTTCTACCAGAGACATACATAGAAATTATGTCGATTGTGTGCGATGGTTAGGTGATTTGATACTTTCCAAGGTATGGTAACTGCTGTTAAGCTGTATTTCCATTGTTTGTGTGAGTTGGAACTTTGCAGGGAGCACAGTTTTTTATGCAGTTGGTAAATTGGATAACAGGTGGGAAATTGCTTTTTTTTTTTTTTTTTTTTTAAGTCTTATGATAACTTTGAAAGATTTGGAAATTTGTTTTAGGCATAAAACATCCTGGTGAATTATAATTTGTGTTCCAATAAGATGAAAAATGTTACCTTGCAAGTTGATACTGTTCTCTGATATCCAGTGTTATTGTAAAATAACCAATATCTAAAGCCAGTAGTGTGGTTGTTTTTTGTTGTTGTTGTTTTTAATGTTTGTGTTCATTTCAGTAAACTTACATGTACAAAAACAGACGGATGGAGTTGGTTCATGGGATGTAGTTTGCCAACCCCTGCTCTAGTATGTTGATACATATGTTTATATATATATTTTTTACTGATAATTTAGAGAAGTTGGTGGTGATGTCATCTGAACATTTAAGATTGTCAAATTTGGAGAAACTGCTATCTAGTTTCTTTTCTTGATACAGGTTTCAGGGCATTTCACATTTTCTTGGGCAGAGGCTGATTTATTTTTTCCTTGGCCATGAGGGTATAGTTTTACCTTTCTATTTTTTAACTTTTGATCTTGAAATTAGATTCACAGGAAGTTTCAAAGACAGTTCAGAGAGGTCCCATATTGCCCTTCAGCCTATTTCCCCCATTGGTTATTACATCTTACACAGCTATAATACAATATCAAATCCAGGAAATTGACATTGTACAATGTGCGTGTGTAGTTCTGTGTCATTTTATCACATGTGATTTTGTCATTTCAAGAATGTTACAGTATGGGACCTTTTAAGATGTTTTTTTCACTCAGTGGAATGCCATCCAAGTTGTTGTGTGTATCAATAGGTCTCCCTTTTTACTGCTGAGTAGTATCCCATGGAATGGATGTACCACAGTTTATTTAACCTTATGCATCTATTGTAGGACATTTTGATCCTTTCTAGTTTGGGCCTATTACAAATAAAGCTGCTATTGAACAATCGTGTATAGGTTTTTGTGTGGACTTACTTTTCACTTCTCTAGGATAAATGCCTAGAAGAGCAATTGCTAGGTCATGGTTAAGTTCGTTTAGTTTTTTAAGAACCTGCCAAACTATTTTCCAGAGTGGCCGTGCCATTTTACATTCCCACCAGCAATGTATGAAAGATCCAGTGTCTTCGAATCTTCGCCGGCATTTGGTATTGTCACTATTTTTTATTTTAGCTGTTCTGATAGGTGTGTAGTGATACATCATCGTGGTCTTAATTTGCATTTCCCTGATGGTTAGTGGTGTTGAACATCTTTTTCATGTGCTTATTTACCATCCATATATCCTTTCAATGATGTCTCTTCATATCTTCTCATTTTCTGATTGGATTGGTTTTTGTTTTGTTTTTTACTGTGTTGAGTTTTGAGAGTTCTTCATATATTCTCAATATAAATCCTGTGTCAGATAAATAGCTTGCAGATATTTTCTTCCAGTCTGTAGCTTGTCTTTTCATCCTCTTAACAGGGTCTTTTACAGAGCAAATATTTTTAATTTTGATAAAGTTCAATTAATTTATTGATTTTTTAAAAAAATTATTATTTTATGGATCATGCTTTTGATATTGTGTTTAAACGCTCTTCACTGAGCCCTAGGTCCTAAAGATTTTCTCCTGTGTTTCCTTCAAAAAGTATTGTAATGGTTTATGTTAAATTTAATGGTCCATTTTAAGTTAATTTTTGTATGAGGTTTAGGTAGAAAGTTCATTTTTTGCCTATAGTCATCCAGTTGTTCCAGCTCCGTTTGTTGAAAGCCTCTCTTTCCTCCTTTGAATTGCTTTTGTACTTTTTTCAAAATTGTTTGGCCATACTTGTATGAGGCTGATTCTGGTTTTTCTATTTTGTTCCCTCTACCAGTACTACCTACACAGGCTCGGTTACTCTAGCTCTATAATTAGTCTTGGAGTTGGTAGAGTGATTTCTTCCACTTTATTCTTTTTCAATATTATTTTAGCTATTCTAGTTGCTTTGTCTTTCCATATAAATTTTAGAATAATCTTGTCTACATTTACTAAAAATCTCGCTGGGATTTTTTTGGGGGGGCAGGGAGATTTTGATTGGAATTGTGTTAAACCTGTATATCAGTTTGGTGGGGAATTAATATCTTTTTTTTTTTTTTTTTTTTTTC